CCAGGAGATTGAAGCAATAGTGGTAAGAGTTTGAGTATGAAAAAGCATTATTTGTTCATGTACTTAAGCTGCGTGCAGTTTATTGTTTGTGAATTGTACCTAAACAGATAGATTTAAAGAAAGTAATATTACAGAGTAGATTTGGTCGGAGAGGTTGTCAGACCAGTGCCCTGGCAGGATGTAATTAAGTTTCTTGTAGTTATTTAGCCTAAAATCAGAAAATTCTTTGAGCAGTGGTGATTGGGTTAATTGATTAGGGTTGACTCAGCTAGTGATTAGTTTTCTGGGATGTTCTTGAGTTAATTATAGTTAAGGTTTTTCCGTTAAGAAACAGCTGATGTTTTAAATAGTCAAAATAAGCCCGACTGTGGCTGACTCTTTAAGGGACATCGCAGATATCTAATCAGTGAGCTGATGGCGAGGTTTGATTTGGAGACAGATTACCAGGAAAAAAGAGTTTGAGGTGACTTATTGTGGTAGCATTTATTCATTCAGTATCATTTTGAAGAATGAGTTTAGTAAGTCATTCAGTCTTTCCGTGTGTCTCTTCACTGTGGAGACTTTATAGGGCACTTTGTTTTCCTTAGTATTGTCTAAGAAAGAAGAAAGCCAAAGGTGTTCATCTGAATTCTGAAGATAGATAAGGTGTAGTTATTGCCTTTAAGGAGTTTACAGTCTGGGGCTTGGAGTAGGGGCCAAAATGGCCTTGGGAATATGCTGCAAATGAATGTATATGAAAGATCACCATAGAGATGTGAAACGTTGAGGGAACAGAATCTTCTGAGGGAGGGGAGAAGTGGCGGAGGTGGCGCAGGGGAGAGCTACAGAAAAGGGACACTTAGCAAGACTTGGAAAGACAAGTGGGAATTACCCAGACTCCTTGGTGGAGGGTACAACTTGGAGTTGGGGAGATAAAGTTGTGTGCAGAAAAGAGCATGTGTTCTAGTTTCTTTAGAGTATTGGTTCTCAAAATGTTGTCCACAGACCCTAAGGAGTCTGTGAGCTCACAACTGTTTGTGTAGTAATGCTAAGATAGTATTGTTGTTTTCACCGTATTGACATTTGGTGCTATAGCAATGGCAGGTAAACCTGCTGGTGCCTTAGCACAAATCAGGGCAGTGGCACCAAAGAGTTGAAAAAAAAAAAGACAAAAACAAAGAGTCAGTTTCACTTAATGTCCTTGAGGAAGCAATAAAATTTTAAATCTTATTAAATTGGATTGTTGACTATTTTTTAATACACATGATGCACAGAAAGTATGCGTAAAGCATTTCTGGGTATAGGATAGTGGTTATCTTGAGGAAGAACTTTTGTGAGATTGAGTTGTGAGTTAAACTAACAGGTCCTTTTCTCCGCCCCCGACCCCCTTGTTGGGGTGCCATTTTTACCCGAATGAAAGGCTGTCAAACAGTGCTTATTAATATTTGGGTATTTGGCAGATATTTTCTTGAACACAAGCTAAGAGAACTTGTTACTACTTCAAAGAACATTGTCAGTTTTGTTGCAGGTGAGGAAGTGGAACTTGCCAGTGAAAACTAAAACTTTGAAAACTTGTGTCTGCCAGTGTTAGTTTGACAGCTTCCCATTAAAGACTTTCTGGTGAGATGGGCAATGATACTCATGATGATGACACTTTGATACTGTGTAATGAGATGTGTCAAGATCCACTGAAAGAGCCAGGTAGAACAATGAATTTTAATGTAGCAGAGTACAAAATGTTCATTAATTTAGGTTTTAGATTCAACATTGCAACTAGCCTTTTAAGAAACTATCTCTTGCTAAATTTTGGGTAATAAAGAATATCCCCAGTTATCTGAAAAAGCTATTAAAATCTTCCTGTTTTCCAACTGCACATCAGTGTGAGGCCAGCTTTTCTGCATATTTTTCAACTAAACAACTCGTAACAGGCTGAATAGAGAACCAAATACTATGAGAATCCAGCTGTTTCTATTAAGCCAGCTTTGAAAAGATTTGTAAATGAAAAAACCGTGTAACTTTTCTCACTAAATTTTTTTTTGGAAAATAGCCATTCTAAAATAAAAGTATATAATATTTTTGGTTCAATTTTTGAATAGTTGAGTGAATAGATACAACCTACGTAAGCAAAAGCTTGTTAATCTTCAAAAGTTTTTAAAACTTTTTAAAACCACCAGGTGACAACAGAGGATTTTCTTTTTTATTTTGTTAAGATGGGGATGGGGTCAGCTGGTGATTGGTAGAGAGCCTGGAACCAAGGTTTTGAACAGTGCTATGGACTGGCATTTAAGCAGGGGCGTGGTGTGATTGGATTTGTATTTGAGAAGGATCACTTTGACCTTAGAGAGACCAGAGGCAGGGAAACCAGACCAAGACTTCACTTAAAGGCAAAATGTCCAGGACCAGGGCACATGGACCAGGGCAGAGTTTGTGGGGATGGCAAAGAAAAGGACAGCTTTTTTTTCTTCTTTTCTTTAAATGGAGGTACTGGGGATTGAACCCAGGACCTCGTGCATGCTAAGCACCTGCTCTGCTGCTGAGCTACACCCTCCCCCTGAGAAGGACAGCTTTGATAGGCCTTGAGGCAGAGGATTAACAAGTCAGTTACAAATAATGGTGAGTGTGATACTTGATAACTAGATACCTAGTAATGTGTTGATGCACTGAGAGTGGGAAACAGGACTGGGAAGCAAATTTGGGCCCACGTGATATAATTAACAGGTGCAGTTCTGACATGTTGAATTTGAGGTGAAAATGGCTGTTTAGGAGGGGATTGGTAATGTTGGTCTGGAACTCAGGAAAAAGGCCAGGCTGGAAGAAGAATTGTGAGCCATCAGTTTGTGGGTAATGCCTAAAGTTATGGAAGGAGATGAGAGCCTTTTTCTGTTTAGAGGCTAGTTTTATAATTTCAGGCTTTTAGTCTGGTTTCTTAGGGATAGGTTGGGAAGGGCCTATCCAGGAGTGTGACTGTGGGATAACCAACCATGTCTTATTTACCGTTACTTGTTTTGATCTCCAGAGAGTGGGACCGTGGCCGGGAGCGTCGCAGCCGGGGCGAGTATCGTGATTACGATAGGAATCGGCGAGAGCGCTTCTCTCCTCCCCGCCACGAGCTCAGCCCCCCGCAGAAGCGCATGAGGCGAGACTGGTGAGACGGCAACAGTTGCTCTGTCTTCTCTCCTTAGCCTCCGTCCTACCTGGGCCTCAGCTATCTACCCTTACTTCTGCTGAGAACTGTCTTTGTCATTTCCTTTTCTCAAACTTCCCATAAACCCACCCTTATTTAATCCCTTTAAATCCTTGGTGAGAGACCACACTCCATCTGTGCCCCTCCTTCTGTTCCATCCTCCTTTGTGCTCTGGAGAGGTGATTCCCTTCTCTGTCTGACTTTTGTGTCCCCCACCCTCAGGGATGAGCACAGCTCTGACCCATACCACAGTGGCTATGAGATGCCCTATGCTGGGGGGGGTGGGGGCCCAACTTATGGCCCCCCTCAGCCCTGGGGCCACCCAGACGTCCACATCATGCAGCATCATGTTCTGCCTATCCAGGCCAGGTAAAGACCTGGGGTTCTCGGGAGAAGGGAGTCAGTAGGCTCGGGGGATGGATTGGGGTTGCTGAAGACCATGGCTGGAGCCAGGAAGTGGCTTAGGCACTCAGAGGAGTGCCTGTGGGGGTGGTAGCAGTCAGTGCCTGGGGTGGTGTCTGGTGGGCAAAGGAAGGGGGCAGCTGGCTACCTTGGCCCCCCATCCCCCCACCCTCTTCCCCCACAACCAAGACTTCCTGACCGGGCCCCCCCCCAGGCTGGGCAGCATCGCAGAGATTGACTTGGGTGTGCCACCACCCGTGATGAAGACCTTCAAGGAGTTTCTCCTGTCATTGGATGACTCTGTGGATGAGACAGAGGCAGTTAAGCGCTATAACGACTATAAGCTGGATTTTCGAAGGCAGCAGATGCAGGATTTCTTCCTGGCTCATAAAGATGAGGAGTGGTGAGTGCCCCTTACTCTCCTGCTGTCTTTTCCCTGGCATGTTTCCCCTGGCCCCGCCAGTGGAGCCTGCAGCCCTGTCCTCTTCCCATTTTCCCCAATCCAGAACTTCCTGGGGGTGGGGGAGGGAAGTACAATAGCACTGGCTGATGGGTTCTCCTCCTCACTTCCATGTCCGCCACGGCCCCCACCCCGTCTCCCTTCCCCACTGTCCTCAGTGAGTGAGACACCTCCAGGCAGTTGGCCAGAGCCACCTGTTCCCTTGGGGCAGCAGACAGACTGCTTCCCACTTGCTGATATTGGGTCATTGTCATCCCTGATCGCCGGGACCCTGTGTGGCTGTGGCATCCTCCCAAAAGCAACGAGTGAATCCAGACAAGAAAAGCAAAGATCTCAGGGTCGTTTGACAGAAAAAGAATTTTAATTTTTTTTCCTTTTGTGGATGTTTTAATTTTAATCAACCATCTTTTCCCCCCTTCCTGCTCCTCCTCCTCCTCATCCTCTTTCTGCTCCTCCTCCTTGAAAAGAGCCAGAACTGGGAACTACACCCGCTCATCGACGGAGCTCGGAGCAAACCCACCTCCACCCCCACCATACCCAGCCCATACATGAGCCCCTTGGGCTGACCGCGCTGCCCGGCCAGGCAGACAGGCAGGGCACTGCTGTGCACAATGCAGCGGTTTAGCTGAATGTGATTGCTCAGGCAGTTAGTCAGTCAGGGCCCCCACCGCGGAGTCCCGCGGGGGTGGGGCATCCGGGCCGGGACACCCCAGCCAGGAGCCAGCCGGTGGCCCACCAGCCAGCATGGGCCCTGGGCGCGGCTAGTTAAATCTTGAGCTCTGTTTGACCAAGCGGCCAAGGTAAAGATCCTGGAGGTGATGCCTGCGGCTTTCCTTTCCTCTTACACTCAACTTGTGGTTCTGTTCTGTCATTGTCCCCTCTTCTTCTCTGTGTCTTGTTTCACCCCCTCATATACCTTTCATTCTTTCTATGTCCCTGTTCTTGCTCCTGCCTAACACTTTTTGCTGCTTCCCCCCCCCCCTCCAGTTTCCATTTGGTCTTTAGTTTTCCCCATTTGTTTTTGATTTCTGGGACTTTCTCACACTTTCCCCCTTTTTCCCATATCCTAATTTCTTTTCCCCGCACCCCTTAAGTGTTTTCTTTTTCATGCTCTACCCATAATTCTCCACCCTTGTCCTCTTTCCATCCCTGTGGGCAGTAACTGAGTTATAAGGGCACTTCAGTTTCTCCCTTTGGTCTTTCCCTGTCCCTTCACCATCTGCTTATCTTCCCAAGGGGGGAGAAAGGTATTCTGCCTTTTTTTTGGTTTTTCCTTTCTGGTGATTTCAGGTTTCCCTTGTCTTCCACCTAGGGGTGGAGGGAGCTGGTGGGAGCAATCTTTTTAATGACTAGTTTGGGGTTGGTAAGGAGAGGGAGGTTCTTTGGGGCTTACTATTTCCTTAGCATTCCTCTCGGAAGCTTTGGGAAACTATGTTTTTTAAAATTTGTGTTTCCCAGGCACTTAGGGCAGTCAGTTTGCCTCTCCATCTCTGGCTCCCCCTGTAGTCATGCTCTTCCCAAATCCAGAGCTCTTAGTTCCTGGTTCCCCCCCAGATCTTCTCAGAGCATAACTTCTGGTTCTCTTGGGGGGGATTGGGTGGTTCTAGTGCACCTCTCTTTCCCTAATCTCTGCTTTTATGATCTTTTGTGGGTGTGAGAGGATGGGGGCTATGCCCTAACTTTCCTGGGCCCCTCCCCATGTCCTGGCCCTGGCCTCCAGTGACTGTTTGGTCTCTTCCCTCCCTTCCTTCCAAGGTTTCGGTCTAAGTACCACCCAGATGAGGTGGGGAAGCGACGGCAGGAGGCCCGGGGGGCCCTGCAAAACCGACTAAGAGTATTCTTGTCCCTCATGGAGAGTGGCTGGTTTGATAATCTTCTGCTGGACATAGACAAAGCTGATGCCATTGTCAAGATGCTGGATGCAGGTATATGGGTTGGGAGGGGTGGGGCTGTCTTGTGACCAAGGTCTTGGTTGGAAATGGAAGTAGACTGACAGCCTCTGCTCCCTTTGTTGGTAGCTGTGATTAAGATGGAAGGAGGTACGGAGAATGATCTACGTATCCTGGAGCAGGAAGAGGAGGAGGAACAGGCAGGAAAGCCTGGGGAACCCAGCAAGAAAGAGGAAGGTCGGGCTGGACCAGCCCTGGGGGATGGAGAGCGCAAGGCCAATGATAAGGATGACAAGAAAGAAGACGGCAAACAGGTCTGAGTGCTGGGGCCTCTGGGTGCTGCCTGTGAGGCCTGGGGAGGAGAGTGGAGCTGCTTTAGTGGTGGGTCCAAATGAGCTGGAACTCTGGAGGGTTGAGTATTGAGTACGGGAGAGGTGAACTGGTGGGCTCAGCTGTGGAGGGTGGGCAGGGCCCTCTGGTAAAGGCTGAAGGGGAGACTGACACCCCTGGTGATTTGTCTTTACCTGTAGGTTGAAAATGACAGCTCCAGTGATGACAAAACTAAGAAATCCGAGGGTGACGGGGACAAGGAAGAGAAAAAAGAAGACTCTGAGAAAGATGCCAAAAAGGTAGGGTCTCCCCTTGCACAGGGTCAGCGTCAGTGTTGGTTCCTGGTACCTGACTCCCCTTCTCTTGCCGTGGCTCTCACAGAGCAGCAAGAAGCGGAATAGGAAGCACAGTGGTGACGACAGCTTTGACGAAGGCAGTGTGTCCGAGTCGGAGTCGGAATCCGAGAGCGGCCAGGCCGAGGAGGAGAAGGAAGAGGCTGGTAGGTTTTATTTTCTCTGCTTGTAGTCTGGTCTCTTCCTACTGAACAAGGGTGGGACAGGTGAGAGGCTGGTGAAATTGATGGGAAGGTAGCCTTTTGGGAGAGACTGGTGGGGGGTAGGTCTGACAGCTTCTCTATCCTCCTCTCGTCAATTAACAATCAATTTTCACCAACTCCTACCACTTCCTGCACAGAAGAAGCACTCAAGGAAAAGGAGAAGCCTAAGGAAGAAGAAAGGGAGAAGCCTAAGGACACTCCTGTGCTGGAATGTAAACCCCGACCTCTGCATAAGACTTGCTCTCTCTTCATGCGCAACATCGCACCCAACATCTCCCGGGCTGAGATAATTTCTGTGCGTGGGGAAAATGGTGTCGGGGGCAGGGAAGACACCTATGCTCCATTCCTTTGAGTTGGGTGGCAGGGAGAAGATAATCTGGCACTGCTTTTACATACATCCTTATTTCCCTAATAGGGCGGCCCCCTTCCCATGGGCTCATGCCCTTCGAGGGCTGGCCCTGACTGCACTGTTAGCTTTCAAGTGCTATTATTCTTAAGCCCTTTGTTTTTTCTTATTCCAAGGAAAGATTAAAAGGCAGTTCTCTAGGGTTCTGAGGACATGGGGATTGGAGGAGGAAGTGAACCCTTGAGTCACTAAGTGGGGTTTCTATTTCTCTTTTTCCAGCTTTGTAAAAGATACCCAGGCTTTATGCGTGTAGCACTATCCGAGCCCCAGCCAGAGAGGAGGTGAGGAATGGAGGGAGGTGTGACCCTGGAGACCTTGGTGAAAGGGTACAAGGGAAGATTAGTGGCCCACGTCACCTCCATCCCAGAATTTTGCTGACATTTTCTTTCTTGTTTAGGTTTTTCCGTCGTGGTTGGGTCACCTTTGACCGCAGCGTCAATATCAAGGAGATCTGTTGGAACCTGCAGAATATCCGAGTGAGTGCTGGGAGTGGGGCTGCAGAGGAAGAGGAAGTGGGGCTTTCCATGCTCTGCTTGATCTCTGATTCCTTTGTTCGTTGGTAGCTTCACTTATCTGCCCCTTGTTTCATCCATTTAGTCTGCCCATGCGAATTGTATATAGTCGTCTCTGGGTTCGGCTCTGGTACTGTTGCCGTGAATGAGACACATCTGGTCCCGGTCCTCAGGACGCTGTCTAATCCCTAGCACTGTCAGCAGGGCCAGTCTTTGAGTGGCTCTTCTTGGGCCGGTGCTGGTAAACTTTCTGTTCCTCCAGCTCCGGGAATGTGAGCTGAGCCCTGGCGTGAACAGAGACCTGACCCGCCGCGTCCGCAACATCAACGGTATCACCCAGCACAAGCAGATAGTGCGCAATGACATCAAGCTGGCAGCCAAGCTGATCCATACGCTGGACGACAGGACCCAGCTCTGGGCCTCTGAGCCTGGGACACCTCCTCTGCCAACAGTCAGTGTCTCCTGGTGGAACTTTTTAAGAAGCCGCTGGTACTGCCTCATCTGCCGTGGGCACCTCTGGCCTTACTTGATCTGTAGCATTGATCCCTTATACCCGCCCATGTTTTTGCCCCTCTCCTCCTGGGCAGCTTCCAGCTTCGAACAAAACAGATTGGCATTAGTGATTATTTATGGGCTAGGGCAGAACAAATACAAAAATGAAGACAAGTAACAAGGCAAAGGTAACAGGCCAGCTGAGTCCTGAACTCTTTGGCCCCATGTTGCCTCTTCAAATGAGGAGGTTCCTAGGCTACCTACCCTGAGGAGTTTTGTCTGCTCCACCTCTCTCGCCCTACCAGAGTCTGCCCTCGCAGAACCCGATCTTAAAGAACATCACTGACTACCTGATTGAGGAAGTGAGTGCTGAGGAGGAGGAGCTGCTGGGGAGCAGTGGGGGGGCCCCTCCTGAGGAGCCTCCTAAGGAAGGAAACCCAGCAGAGATCAACGTGGAGCGGGATGAGAAGCTGATCAAGGTGCTGGGAGAGCAGTGTGGGCTGTGGGAGAGCCTGGCTCCCGGCAGTAAAGGGGCAGGAGTGTGGTGAACTCACGGCTTCTCACCTCTCTTAGGTTCTGGACAAACTGCTCCTCTATTTGCGCATTGTGCATTCCCTGGACTATTACAACACGTGCGAGTACCCCAATGAGGATGAAATGCCCAACCGTTGTGGCATCATCCATGTTCGGGGGCCCATGCCGCCCAACCGCATCAGTCATGGAGAAGGTGAGCTCCCGGCCTCCCCACTCCTTGACCCTTCGGTCCCTTTCTCTTAGATGCCTCTGGCCTTCGTTCTGCTCTGGTAGATAGCTATGCTGTGCACCTTCTACTCTAATATCCTCCTTCTGGCTTATTCCTTGCTCCTGGCTCCCATCTCCAACCTGCTGTCCGTCTGTTCCAAACCGCAGTGCTGGAGTGGCAGAAGACATTTGAGGAGAAGCTGACTCCCCTGCTGAGCGTGCGGGAATCTCTTTCAGAGGAAGAGGCCCAGAAGATGGGTCGCAAAGACCCTGAGCAGGAAGTGGAAAAGTTTGTGACTTCTAACACCCAGGAACTGGGCAAGGATAAGTGGCTGTGCCCTCTCAGTGGCAAGAAATTCAAGGTCTGGGATATTAGAGAGTTGTGTTAGCACTGTGGGTGGAGAGGATTGAGCGAGGAAGCCTCCTCAAGGCCTGGGGAGGAACTGCTCATTGGGATTAGAAGGAGGGGAGGTTTATCTTCCAGGTTAGGTCTGGAGAGTTAAGGAACCCATATTGCTCACTCTGTTCTGACCCCCTCCTCTCTTCACCCAGGGCCCTGAGTTTGTACGCAAACATATCTTTAACAAACATGCAGAGAAAATTGAGGAAGTGAAGAAGGAAGTGGCATTTTTTAACAACTTTCTCACTGATGCCAAGCGCCCAGCTCTGCCTGAGATCAAGCCAGCTCAGCCTCCTGGCCCTGCCCAGAGTAAGATACGATCCATGAGGGTCTGCCACATTCCCTGTCCCTTGGCTGTTCAGACTACTGGTTCTCTTTAACTTGTCATACCCTGAAAAGTTTCTATCCCAGTCTCAGGCTGTATTACTAAAAAGCCCGTTGTCATTAGTCATTACCCTGCCTTCCCCCCTCCCCCGCAGTAATTCATGTTCCTGTCTGTGTTGTACTCCCCCCAGGCCTGACCCCGGGACTTCCCTACCCACACCAGACTCCTCAGGGCCTGATGCCCTATGGCCAGCCCCGGCCTCCCATCTTGGGCTATGGCGGTAAGTACAAGAGAGAGTTGGAAGGACTTACTGATGGTGAGGGGCTGGTAGAAAGAAAACTTAGCTAGGATGTAGTTGAGATCAGTTTTTCAACTCAACACTGGTCTTTTTCACAGCTGGCGCTGTTCGCCCTGCGGTCCCCACAGGAGGGCCTCCATACCCCCATGCTCCCTATGGTGCTGGCCGAGGGAACTACGATGCCTTCCGTGGCCAGGGAGGCTATCCTGGGAAACCTCGAAACAGGTGAGAATGGGCTAAGGTGTCTAAGCTTTCTTGTCCTCTTCAAAGTCCCTTTTGGGGGCCCTCAACTCTCACCCCATCTTACCTCTTTCTTATCTCACAGGATGGTCCGTGGAGACCCACGGGCCATTGTGGAATACCGTGACCTGGATGCTCCAGATGATGTGGATTTCTTTTGAGCCATCTACTTTTCCTTACTCTTGGTATCATCTATACTTGTGACTGCCTTGTTCCATCCAGCTTGGAGAATTTTTTGTACGTTCAGCCCTACTGCCAATAAAAGCACTTCCGTAGTGACTCCTGAGTTGGTGTATGTATACCTCCCCGAATTCTCCCAAAGATTGGCTGGGGCCATGGTTGGCTGGGCCTTGCCACTTTATTGACACTGAAGGTCCCAGGCTCTGCTGGGATTTCCTGGGGGCTCTGCCTTTGAGATGGGGGTAGGTGAGCTTGTATGGAGCTGGAGACGTCTCAGTTCTGGGACCTTAGCCTCAGTCCAGGGCGTGCTGCTGCTTTTCCGAGTTACAAGTGGTCAAGCACAGGTTGTAGAAGGAGTTGGGGTCAAAGGCCATGCTTGCTTCTTGCCAGCCCACCCACCCAGCAGCCTGTAGTTCACTGGGGTTGTTTAGAGCACCCCAGCAGTGAGGGTCCAATACCAGGACATAGGCTTCCGTGCCTGGCCCTAGGCACACTCCCAGCAAGGCCTTGGACTGGGCATCCGCATCCCCTCCAACCATTACAGGCCCCCCACCCCCTGCGAAGTGGGAGTAAAGCCTCTCCAGTTCCCCATGAAGCCCGGCTCCACGGGGCACATGACATAGGCGCCCTTGGGGCCCCCCGAAATAGTCAAGGCAGAGGCTGGCTTCTACGCAGCCGATCCAGCTCCGCGAGCCCCGGAACCCAGGGGGTTTGTCGCCCATGTCCTCCAGAGCCGCCTGCACGGCAGCCAGCCCAGGCACTCCCGCAGGCCGGCCCTCTGGCCACGAGCACAGTGTCTGCAGAGTGCGATAGCCGCAGCCCCAGCCCCGGTCATCCAGGCCGTCGCAGCCGTAGTGGTAGTAGAGGTAGTGGCCGGAGAGGAGGGCAAGGCGAGCCGGGCCGCGGCCAGGCGGAGCCAGGCCCAGGTGGACGTCCTTCAGCGGCTCCAGGGTGGTGGGCGGGAGCGGCGGTCGCCGAGCCGGGCAGATGTGTCCTCCAGGCGGCGCGGAGCGAACTCCAGGGAGACTCCAGGCTCCAGCGCTTCCTCCCGGTCCCGGGTCTTGGGCTAGCTTCGGGCAAAACAGGCTCGCGGACTCTGGGGTAGCTCCCGCCGGACCCCAGGTAGGAAAGCAGCACCCAGCGGCCGAAAAGATCACACACACACTTGCGGGGCTCCCACAATGCACCGCCGCGCTCGCGCAGCCGGCCTCACTGCGCAGGCGTGAACTCCACCTCGCAGGGCGGGCCGTACTCCCTGCCGCGACGGGGGCGATCCAGCTCCCAGCACCCCACTTCAGAGATCCGTGCCTCCCGCCGGCTCTAGCACCTACCCCTCCATTCACTCAGCCCCAGTGGTTGAGGCCTTCTGCTTGGACCCCCGCTCCCCAGTCGCGCACACTCCTGTGGCTGTAACAGTTTATTGGCAGCCCAGAGGGGCGAAGGCACCGCGGGGGAGGGGGCTCGGCCCGAGACATGCAGAGGGCAGGGAGCCCTGGTGGAAAGTCAGGGTGAGAGGGCGGGCAAGGTCTAGGGATCCTGTTATATCCCAGCCCTTAAATAAATAGTATATACAGCTGGGGGGCTGGCGGGCAGGGCAGGGGGTCGTGGGGGTCCCGCCTGGGTCACAGGTCTGAGCAGCGATCCTGCTTGCTGTAATGGTCAAACTGGTTCTTCCAGTGCACCATGTAGGAGCTCCAGCGGTGGAACTCGGCCTTCCATTGGCGTTCCGCCTCGTCCAGAGTGTCTGCGGCCAGGGTGCCCGGCAAGTGGGTGGGGGTAGGACACGGGGAAGGACGGGAACGGACATGCGGGGTGGGAGGGAATTCAGGGAGGACACACAGAGAATGTAGGAGGCCACGTGGGATGGTGGAAAGAGGATCAGGAGAATATGCGAAAGACAAGATCAGAGGGAGGACAAGGGTAGAGGCGGGGCCAGACAAGGATGGCGGGAAGAAGGAGGGAGGGGGAGAAAATGACCGGAAAACAGGGGGACAGACGGGATCAGAGAGGGGAGGATCCGTGGGTTGGTGGGAAAAAGAGAAGAGACAGAAATGGTTGGCGGTTATAGCCCCACGGTGGGGTGCTATCTAGCCCCAGGGCCTCCCTCTCCCCGCAACACCAAGCTCAGGCTCCAAAGAATAATTTTGTAGAAAAAGAAAATAGGCTTTTTCGTTTCCATTTAAACAACAAAGGCGTGTGGGTCCCTGAGATGGGTCGTAGGTGTCCTTCCCCACCCTCCACCCCCGCCCTGTCCAGTTTGAGTTTCTCGGTTTGAGGAGCGAGGGGGCGCTGGGTCGGAGATCCCTGAGTGGGGCCCTTCCCCACGGTCCGACCACTCATTAGAGGAGGGGCCCCCTGAGGCCGGAGAGGGAAGAGGCCGTGGTCACAGCCGCAGGAACCGGGAGAGGAGGAGGAAGAAGAGGAGGAGGGGTAGGGGGAGGCCGGGCCTGGGCCTCGGGACAGCCTCCCCGTGGGCGAGGCCTGAGCAGGTGCAGGGGGCCTCCGAGGCTGGGGGAAGAAGAGACGGGTTACACCCGGCCGGCTCCCACCTCCCTCTCTCTCTCCGCGCCCCTTTTCTCCCCCACTTCCGCCTAGCCCCTGCCCGCTGGCCCCTGCGTACCGGTGGCGCTGAGCAATTTGGGTAGGAAGCGGTTCCAGAAGGCGCAGGCCTGGGCGCGCAGCCCTCGCCGCACCTCCAGCGGCCGCAGGTTCAGGCTCACGTACTGCTGGGCTCCCGCCGTGTACGGTGGCCACTGCGGGGCTTTGTGGTCCCGAGGGTCATTGGGGTCCCTGCGGAAGGAAAGGGAAGGCTCAGCCTCAGAAAGCCCGCCCCACCCTGGGGGCTGGGGAATGCAGATGGAGAGGAGGCGGCGGCAGGCTGCTTCCTGACCCGTGCCGTCTTAGGCTCCAGGGGGAGCCCCATCCTCTCCCTCCCAGGACCTGATTAATACATTCTCTTTTCCAACATACCCCATCGTCTGGGGACTTCTCCTCCCTCAGGCCCTGCCTCTTTCTGTTGTCCCTCTTCTTTTCCCTCAGTTTCTTTGCTCCATCTTTATCTTTGTTTTTCCCATTCAAAAATTTTTCTATGATTTATTGAGCCTTTCCTATATATCAGGCCCAATCCTCTCTTTACAAACACCGTGTTTACTTCTGCTGACATCCATGTGATGTCGAATTTATGGTCCCTTTCTTCAGATAAACTGTGCGTGTGTGTGTGTGTGCACAAATGTGTCCCAGCTAACAAAACCACCACCAGTCCAGCTGATCGGTTCCACAGTTCAGGCTCCTAAGTGCTATACTAATTCCTTAGTCTGTCTCTCCTTGTCGCTCTGCTCTTCTCCCTCTGCTCTGTCCTGTCTCATGAGGATCTGCCATCCTGCCTTCCTCTTTCCGTTCTCCCAGGGTCTCCTGTGTCCTCTTTCTCCCTTTGTCTCCTTTGTTTTGTGAACTCGCCCCCCCCACCCCGCCCTTTCCATTTGTCTCTGCTTGTCTCCTTCTCTCTCTTGTCTGTTTGTCCCCCTCTTGCTCCTCTGGCTCCCAAAGACCCTTCTCCCCTCAGTACTGCTGACCCTGTGCGGGCGAAGTTGGCCCAGTATCTCATCAGTCGCTGGGCAAAGGTTCTCTCCTCGTCGGTGTAGTTCAGCGATGGCTTCAGGGGGAGCCCGAAGATGAACTCAATCTCGTAGCCATGGGGCACCCCCATCCAGAGGGGCCAGGAGAGTGTGGATGCACGGTGTTCAAAGATGTAGGCATAGACTCGAGCACCCTGGGCGGCCAGTCGCCCAGCCAGCTGGGCCACGGGGCACACCACGTTGTGGTCGCCCACCACATCACTCATGGCCTCCCTCAAGCGCGCCGGGTCCTCAGGGTGCAGCCAGTCTGTGTAATGCAGGACCACAGCCTCGGCAGCCAGGTCACTTGCCTGGGGGACCCCGACCCGCACCCCGGCCAGGAACTGGGCCCGGCTGATGAGAGATTCGTTGTCTTTGCTGAAGCCTGGGGCCCCATAAACCAGAAAATAGGAGCCCTCATCCTTCACCACACCCACCAGCACCTGGGGGGACAGGATGGAGGGATGGGGGTAGGGGAAGCACAGACAGACAGGCAGACAGAAACAAATGGACAAACAGCCAGAGAGATGAACAGTTATAGACCCAGAACCAGCGAGGAAGAGAGTGCAAGATTGGGGAAGGGAAAGAGAAAGAGGAAATATACACACATTTCCATTCCTCTCTGTCCCACTGACCACCCCAGGATTGAGCCCACAGGGAAGAGGAGGTGGCCATGGGGCCCAGAAGCCTGGGCCTTTGGGAGTGGGTCTTGAGGAGCCCTTAAGCCTGAGTCCCCAGGGGGAGAGGTAGGTGGGAGAACAGGCCTAGAGGAACCAGCTCCACCCTGACCAGCACTAGTCACCTGCAGGCCATGGAAGTCTCCAGCATTGATGAGGGCCTCGGGCGTGTCGCTGAGGAAGTCTCCGTCCACCACAGGCACGAAGGAGAAGCGGAAGACGCTTTCCTGAGGCAGCAAGTGCCATTCGTGGTCCACCAGATCCTGAGCTGGCCGTGTCCGCAGGCAGGCCACCAGCTCTGTGTCATTGCCACCAGCCCCACCCGGGGGACAGCCCACGAGGCGGGCCAGCAGTGTGGCCCTGCGGCGGGCCTCTCCCACACCCACGGTGGCCCAGGGCCCATTGGGTGCACCGCTCTGCAGCACAGCCCTGTGGAACAGTCCCCGGCTGGGTGGGGACAGCAGGTGCATGCCCACGGAGGCGGCACCTGCACTTTCCCCAAACAGAGTCACTGAAGTTGGGTCCCCGCCGAAGGCTACCACATTCTCCTGCACCCACTGCAGTGCCAGCCTCTGATCCAGTAGACCCACATTGCCTGGGGCCTCCCGACTCCCTGGCAGGGCCAAGAAGCCGAAGGCTCCCACCCGGTAGTTCATGGACACCAGCACTGTGCCCTCGGCCTGGGCCAGGAAGCGGCCATCGTACACGTCCAGAGAGGAGGCCCCGCTGTAGAAGCCACCCCCGTAGATCCAGATGAGGACAGGGGTGGGGGACACAGGCCGAGGGTACGGTGTCCACACGTTGAGGTAGAGGCAGTCCTCACTGAGCTCACGGTTGGGGTTCCACATCTCGGTGCCCTCAAAGCCCGGGTACAAGGTGTCCACATATTGGTAGCAGACACTTTGGAAGGCTGTGGCATCCAGCACCCCTGACCAGGGCCGCTTTGGCTCTGGTGGCAGAAAGCGACGGGGGCCTACAGGTGGCTCTGCGAAGGGGATGCCCAGAAAGGCAGAGACAGGCCCCCCAGGGGCCATTAGACGGATGCCCCGCAGCCAGCCCCCACGCACCGTCACCAGCAGCTCTCGGTCCTCTGGGCCCTCAGCCTCTGCCCTTCTTCCCAGGAGGAAGAGGAGGAGAAGGAGCGGGGAAGCCAGGGAGGGCGTGTGCAGGGGACACCACGGGGGCCTCATGGCTGCCAGGGCAGGCAGGCGTCTGCTGGGAGAAAGAAAGGCAGAGGGTGAAGGCTTGAGGCTGCCAGGAGGGAGGAGATGATTAGGTAACACTCTTGCCCAGGGGTTATCACTGAGCTGCAGAGGAGGTGGAGCAGGTTGGCAGAGAGAGCACAGAAATGGAGAGAGGGAGACAGGCAGAGACAAGGACGCAGACAGTAAGAAGCAACAGGGGACAGAGATCAGACACACACATGGACAGACAAATGCAAGGAGCAGACCCAGACCTGCCAAGCAATACCCTCCCCTGCCCCGCAGAAGACCCACCGCCCTCACCTCCTTCCCTCAGCTGGGTGGACCGGTTTGGGCCCAGTGCGAGCGGTGAGCAGTGCTAGTACCAGCACCAGAGGCCGCAGGCCACGCACAGGCCACCAGACAGGGGTGGGGCCCTCACTGACAGAGGCGCCGATGGGGGAGCTTGAGGTGGCGTGAAGACGCAGCCTCTCCTGCGTTGGCCAGGGCCGAGGCCCTGGGGGCGGGGTGTATTTGGGTTGGGCATTCAGGGTGTGGGAGTCACAGGTCCTGGGGAACCCCAAATCCTGCTTACTCCACACCCTGCCCCACCCAGCCCTGCTTCATTCACTGTCTGGCACAGCGCGCTGGTACCCACGGGTGCCTGTCAACTGCGCACCCCCTTCGTCTAGCCTCAGCGAACAGGCTCGCCAGCCCTGGCCCCCCAGGACTCGAGTCCTCCATCCATCTGATGCTGCGGTGCACGCTGCCGCCAGCGGGGGGCAGTAGAGACCAAGAAAAGGACGGCGCTCCCCGCCCCGAGTCCAGGAGCTGGGAACTTGGGGCGGAGGTCTGGGGGCTTGCGGGCATGGCTGAGGGGTCTGAAGGGCGGGCCGGGACGCCTGTATTCTCGGAGCTCCGGAGATCCCCGGCCTCAGGGGCGGGGGCGCTATTTTGGGGCAGCAGCTGCTGCGGTTCCGGCATCTCCAGCCAAGGGATCAAAATTCCCCGGGTCGGAACTCCCCCCTCTCCCGCCGGTCACCCCTCACCCAGCCCCCTCTGCCCTGAGCTGGGGTGGTGGTGATCGAGATTAACTAGGAAACCCGAGTGAGGCTAATTATAACTCGGGGCTTCCGCTAAGCCTCCCCTTCCCCCAAAATAGAGACGGAGTCCCCGCGGGAGGGGACGCCTGGGCCTGGGAGGGGGCTTCGGCTGGGCGCTGCGCGGGGGCGCTGGGATCGCGGGATCCAAGGGAGCCCAATCGGACTCCAGGAACCTGCGCAGCTCGGATTCTGCCCCAAGCAGGGGGCGCCTTCCAGTGGTCCCACACTTGGGGGCGAGAAGGGCCAGCGGCGCTCGGGGGTCCCCACAGGAATTCGAGAGCAGAGGTGGCGGAGGGCCCTGCGGGCTGCCGTCTCCCGCGCGGGCAACCGTAAGTATGCGGCGACGAGGGGAGAGTTAAGGATGAGTGTGGGGCGGCGGGGGGCGTCGCTGGGCAGGCCCCGGGACGCGGTGAGCGTCCCGTTTAAGGGCCTGGGTCCCTCTGGGAGCGCACAGTCCCCAAGACGCCGAATGGGCAGCGGGGCGGGGGAGGGTCCCGGGCGGGGCGGGAGACTCACCTGAGGTGGCCGAGCCGAGCCGGGCCGGG